TTTTTTTTTCTATTTTTAATTAACTTTTTATTCTTTATTCAAAATCCCCCCATATCTAATTTGGCATAATTTCTTTTATTAAAAAATCCCACGGTTTCTGTTAGTTGGGTCATATTCCACTTCAAACTGCTCAGTTTGCCTAAGAAAAATCCGTTTTTCCCCCTTTTTCAAACGGTTCCCTAGGTGCCTGTGGGAGGAGTCCAAGGAAGGGGTTCCCCTTTTTAGAAAGCGGCGACTGTCTCCTTTGTATTGGGGGGTGTTTTGGGGGCCCCGCCCCTCCCCCTCCGCCCCCCACCCAAAAAACGGTGTGAGTGGTACTAAACATTTCCCATACTTTTTGTTTTTAAAAGTGTGTTTGCATTGTTCAACTGTGCGTTCAACATTTCGTCGCCTGGGTAAAAGATTGTCGTAAGCGCAATTTTGACGATTTTTAGTTCTAGATGCAGTTCCATATTTTGAAATAAGGTCTTTCGATTGGTGTTATCAGTTTTTAAATATCTCCTTTAGTTTTAGAGATATTGACTACAATTTAGTTAGAGATGCAGTCATATTAAACTAATCAATATCTTAAAAATGGCGTTCTCCATTTTTTGATATCCCCTTTAATTTCCGAGATATTGAGTAAAAAGTTTCGTTAATTTAGTATAAATTTTGATCGTAGTATTTCATACAAAGTGGCTGCCAAATTGTGGACAACTGACGCTTACGACAAAATTTTACCAAAGAAAATTCTTCTTAAACTCAAACCTAATTAACAATAAACATTAAAAATTAAATAATTTAAGAATTTTGTGAACTAGTAACATCTTCAGAGACTATGGAGAACATCTATCTTCGCGTTTTTGAGAAACTGCATTCAACTCCAGACATAACTACATATATCGTCGAATGGGTAAAATATTGTCGTAACTGCCCGTCTCCACAGTATAAAGTTTATATCTTGATACATATGTCAGAATATAATTTGCCAATGGAGACCGCTCTTCGAAGGCAATATATATCAGAGCCTATATCTTGCCATCTATTGCCGGCAATTTGGTAGTTTGACAGCTACATTTTCATTTGCACGAAAACTTCGTGGCGGCAACATCATTAATATTTTAATATAAAAGCAAAAATTGAGCTGTTTCCTGTTAAAATAATTATAATTATGTACTTGGATGTAAAATAACTTATTTTCAAAATTTTTTAAGCGATTAAATCAGGCAAAAATACGTTTTCGAAGCTATCTTAGAAATGCTTATATCAAGATATAAAAGGCCCACACAAATATTGCCACTGATATAACTTATATCTAGCGACCAAAATGACAGCTGGACAGCAATCAATTTTATCCTGTGGAGACGGCCAGTAAGCGTCATACGTACGTGCGTAACATACGNTTTTATTTGTAAACAAACTGAAATTCATGTTGCCTCCATAGAGGAAAAAAGGAAAGTGAACGTTCAATGTTCGCCATTAACATTTCTAGAAGTAAAAACTAGTTGGCGCTATCATAAAGTCACATAGCAGGCAGCCAAAAAGCATATAAATACCAAAACTCGGAAAATGCAATTTTGTTTGTTTACAAAAATTGCAACCATGTTTTGTGATCATATGTTTTCGTGTTGGATAATTTTTGATGACTAAAATTTTGCCAGTACAAAATGAACGCTTCTCTTGCATCAAAATGAACGCTTGCTCTCTCAATTTTTGTGTGTTGGATAATTTTTTGTCGTTATCGAACGCCATCCAGTAAAAATTTGGTAAAACTATTACACATTTTTGACTTGTCGAACGCACCTAATCTTTTACCTAGGCGTCGATATGTAAAAACCTAACATTTTGATTTATTGAGGTTACCATTAGCCTATTAAAATATGAGATCAAATGTTTTTCATTGTTTTCATAAATATTTATATATATGTATATATATGCGTCGTCACGCATGCGAGATTTTCCAGCACGTGAAGACGGCCGGTTACATTCACAGAAGTGTACAAAGGAAACCTCGATAGTCGTCATCAACCATCGATGTTTTCTCCACCTCTATTTTCCATCTAATTGTAGTTTAAGCTGAATATTAAGCGAAATGATTGCTGTAGATGAAACAATTAGTATAGAAATCAAAGGAAATGATACATCCACTGACGACCTAAAGCTGCGCCCAATAAATTGCGAGTTAAATCCTCTAACCCGCCCGGATGCATCAGCTTTATTTACGCAAGGTTTGCATATCCTTAACTTGGTGTTGGTTTAACTTTACCTTCTTTACATTGTTTAGGAGATACATGCGTTCTTTGTTCAATGCTCGGCCCAGTGGAAGTGAGATCCCAAAACCTTAACATAGAAAAAGCCCACGTGGAATGTATTTACCGACCAAAAGCTGGCATACCTACAATAGAAGACAAATTGAGGGAGAGTATTATTCGTGATACTTGTGAATCGGCACTACTGACCACGTTGCACCCTCGTACAACCATTTCAATACAAATACAAGAATTGGATAATAGATGTGGAGTAAGTAAAGAGGATAGACTAGTTGAAAGCACTCAGACCTTAGATTTTTTCTAGCTTGAAGCATGTGCAATAAACGGAGCATGTCTGGCTTTGCTCATTGGCGGGGTGCCCATGAAATTTACCATTGCTGCAGTGCACTGTATTGTAGACAAGGATGACAAAGTTGTACTTGATCCGGATCATTGTAAAGCTATTGGCAAACGTGCTGCTTTTATATTTGTGTTTGATAGTTTGGAAAAGCATTTAGTAACAGTTCATACCAGCGGTCGTTTTCGAATGTCGCAGTTTAACGATGCTGAATGTATTAGTCGGGCGGCGAGTCAGATTATATTCAATTTTTACCGGCGTATTATTTCAAACTTCCACAATAAATCATTGTTGACAGCCGATACTAAATCTAGAAACAGAGAAGCCGAGCCGATCATCAAAGGAGAACCCATTGAATTATAAACCTAAAGAAATTTTATATATAAAAAAGGTAATTGTAACATAAACCAACAAGTTTTTTACATCTTTATTGTGCTTTATCGCTATAGATATTTGAATAAAACTGTTTTATTGAGGTAAAGTAAAGCGGTAAGCCTTTAAGCACCTGCGAGTTAGATTCGGTGATCTTGACTGCTACAAAATCGCCCGTTGTGATTTCTCTGTGACTTCCCACTTCACTCGGCAGCATCACCGATGGCACAATAACTTTAATATTGGCATCATTACGCCCAAACCAACATTTATCCGATCTTTTGCTCTTTCCCTCTATAAGTATAAGCTCGTTTCGACCCTCAAAACGTTTGTGCAAATCTGTAGCACCCTTGCGGAACACCTGTACCATGCGTTGTAAGCGCTCCGTTTTGACTGCTTGCGGCACATCATCTTTATAACGTCGATGTGCAGTCGTCCGTTCACGCATACTATAAGCGAATAGGAATGCTACATTATAGCGAACCAGTTCCATTAGCGTTAATGTGTCTTTGAACTCTTCTTCCGTTTCACCGCAAAATCCGCAAATGAAATCACTGGAAATACCCACGTTCGGAAGCATTGTTCTTATAGAGTCCACCAAGCGTAGATAAGCATCTCTTGTATAACCCCGCCGCATACGTTCCAGTACAGCGTCATTTCCAGACTGAGCGGGCAGATGTAAATTTTTACAAACATTTGGATAATCGCGTATGATGCGCAGTACGTCTTCAGAGAAATCCTTTGGATGTGGTGATGTGAAACGTATACGCATTTCAGGAACTGCTTCAGCTACTTGCCGGAGTAGCTCATCGAACCTCATTCCACCCAGCTTGGGTTTGTATACCGTACTGAAACCAGGTGCCACTTTGTTGGTCTCAAGGCCCTTTGTACTAGTTCGGGTGTTTGTGGTAATATCCCGGTAACTGTTGACATTTTGACCAAGTAGTGTGACTTCCTTTACGCCACTATCACCCAACGTTTGTACTTCCTGAACAATCGACTCTATAGGACGAGAACGTTCCCTACCTCTTGTAAAAGGAACAATACAGTAAGTGCACATATTGTCACATCCGCGCATTATCGAAACAAAGGCAGTTGGTGAGTCAGCATTCAAGCGCACCGGCATGACATCGGCGTAAGTCTCATCCAGGGAAAGCAATACATTAATCGCAGATTGCTGGTAATGCCGCGATATCGCCAGCAAACGGGGAAGGTCCTTGTAACTATCTGGCCCAGCTATGACGTCAACACACTTTTCTCGATCAAGTAAACGCTCCTTCAGGCGCTCCGCCATACAACCGAGAACGGTGATTTGTAGTGGACCATGTCGTGCAGAACGGCGGTCTTTCATAGCATGCAAATGCTTCAGTCGATTCCAGATTTTCTGTTCCGCACCATCACGTATAGCACAGGTAACCAACATGATAACATCTGCCTGTTGAACATCTTTACATCGCTGATATCCATTTTGCTGCAAAATAGCCCATACTACTTCAGTATCATTTGTATTCATTTGGCAGCCGTAAACTTCAAAGTGTACTTTGCGCCCGTGACCACTAAAGCTCTCGGGGAGTAAATAAGGCACTTGTAATTCATCGTTGTTTGCCTCAGTATGTGTAGGTCCGCGCTTTACATTAAAGAATTTATGGAGGCCTGGGCCGGCACTAACTTTTTCCAAAAAAGTTTGACGCGCATTTGGCGGTTTAGTTGACGTTCTACAGTTAGTGGCTTCTGCACTGAAATGGCGATGTAGCGTTGTTGTCCATGTTGAAGAACTGCATGACTGTCCGATTGTCTGCAGCACTTTGGCGGGACGTCTAAGCCAATTAACTTTTATCATTGATTTAACTTTAACATTAAACTTATTATTAAAAACAATTAAAAATAACTTTTCAGAGCATTAGGGTGTGCCCCCAGCGCGCAGCTGATTAGATTAGGTCGTAAACAAAGGATAGATGTAAAAAAAATCGATGTATAGAGCAACATCGATGGTCGTGGCTTCAAACATCGTTGTTCATCGATGTTTTTACGAATCCGTTGTTGAATCAAAAAATTAAAAATGTTTCTTGACTAATTTTTCACCATTTAATTTTATGCGGTAATTCTCTAGGGTGCGGTAACAACCCCTAAAAAAGGTGTGGAAAAGTCGGGAGGGGTATCAAACGACGCGTTTCGGCCCCCCTATTAACAATCCGGAGGGGGGG